AAAACACAGGAGGATGTATGAGATTCCATGCAAGCACCATGCCACTGTGTATAAGGGACTTGAGCATCTGGAGGTGCTGGTATCCATGAAATCCAAAAGTTTTTTAGGTTTTTGCTTTTTGTTTTATCCCAAAGTTTTGCTTTGTTTCATGTTTTATTTTGTTTGAGACAGAGTCTCAGTATGTAGTTCAGGCTGGCCTTGAACTCACTAGATAGCCCAAACTCAAACTTTCAGCGTCCTCCTGCCTCAGCCTCCCAAATGCTGGAATCACAGGTGTGTACCACCACGCCTGATGAGATCCAAAAAAAATTTGTTTTTTAGAGATCCAAAATTTACAGGGCTGGTGATTTAGCTCAGCGGCACAGCACCTGCCTGGCAAGCACAAGGTCATGAGTTTGATTCCCTGTACTGGAAAAAAGCCAAAAAAAAAAGAGATCCAAAATTTTTGAACAACCAGGTCTGGCTCCTTCTCACTTCACCAGCCAATCACCTCCCCAGCACCCACCTCATTTTCTATGATGCAGTCTTGCCAAATGATTTCATTCTGCTCCACACATCCTGCTCCTTCCCTGTTCAGCTAGTGGCCAGCTGCTCTGGGACAGGAAGTCTCACCTGTTCTCCCAGTATGAGATGCCTATTCTGGTCTAGAAATGAACACACTCCACTGTAAGTCTAAGAGGGCATACGGGAGTTAAGTCCTTGGTCTGCCAGCCTGGGTGTCCACAGGCAAACCACTGATGACTGTCCTTGTCTTTCCTTCTCTGTAAAATAAGGACCAAAACACTACCTGCCCCTGCTGGTGTAGTGGGTGCACATCTGTAATCCTAGCACTTGGGAAACTGAGGCAGGAGAATCACAAGTTCAGGGTCAGCCCAAGCTACACAATGAGACCCTAACTTGAAAAACAAAACAAAAAAATTTTAAAGGCTGGGCATGTAGCTCAGCACTAAAGTGGCTACATAGCAGGCATGAGGCTCTGGGTTTAATCCTCAGAACCACAGAAAAAAACAAGCTTGGGGGTGGTGCATGCCTACTAGCCCAACATTTGGAAGGCTGAGGCAGGAGGCTCTGGAGGAAAAGGCCAGCCTGCACTGCACAGTGAAAAACCAGCTATCCCATAGGGTAGGTCTGTCAAGTATTTTAGAATATTTCCTGTCAAAGTGAGCGCTTAGGGGGTTTGTTGTGGCCGTGGTGGTGATTTTTTTAAGGGCTGGGAATTGAGCCCAGGGATTCTCTACCACTAAGCTACTTGTACAACCTCAGCCCTTTTTTATTTTGAGACAGGGTGTTGCTAAATTACCTCAGCCTCCTGAGCAGCTGGGGTTACAGGAGTCTGCCACCATGTCCTGCCTATGCATGTGCTTCCTAGACACTGATTTGCCTTTTTTCCATTCTATAAGCTCTGAGTCAGAAACTACATATCGCCTTATAGACTTTCCTATATTCTGTATCCTCTGTAGCGGGAATGATGAAGAATACAAGTCAAATTCCATCACTCCCCTATTGCATGAAGGAGCTCAAAGCCTGGAGAATTAAACTAGAACTCTTCCATGGGCACATCAAACATGACCCCTGCCGATATCCTCACACAATTTGCCAGTTTCCGAAAGGTCTCTTGCTGTTCCTTCCATCACTGCCTCCCAAAGTTTACTCTTCCTTTTTCATTTGTTTGTTGCTGTTGCTCTGCATTGT